ACATTTCGGTTAGAGTGCGGCGGGAACGGTGCGCCGATTGTCAGGTATACAGAATTGAAGAGTAGATTTCACCGCGGTTCGCATCTTTCTGTTATTTTCAGTCGCCTTCGCGTGAGTCGTTACGGTCCACAATCCCACAGTCGTCGGCGACGCGACGTAAGAGCGCATTGATTGCACATTTATATTATACGAACAACGCGTCCGCGTCCTCGAGCGAATTTCCGCGGGAACAATATTCGTCGCAATTCGCAGAGAGCCCGGGACGAAGACGAATGCCCGCAATTTACGACTTGCGATTTGCAATGCAAAAAAGACCGGCGGACGGAGAATTCGGCGTTGTCGTTTCATTTCGCCTCCTCGACGTTCGTGTTTGTCCTCGACATATTACGTCGCTCCCTCGCTCGGATAACGATGAATCATTTAGCGAGCCGTGTTCGCCACCGCCGACTCTTAATCGAGTCTTTCCGTAGGAAGCGCAAGACGGTAATCTCTCTCCGAAAACTTTCCGCGAAACTCGAAGATTTATCGGGGAAATAATTTATTTACCCTACGGCGAGAGAGAGAGAGAGAGAGATAGCGGCGGGGAGGGGGGGAGAGGGTTGCGTCGCGTCGTGCCGGGACGTCGCGATTTTCACCCCCTACCACCCTGGCTTTCCACCAAAGTGCTTTGATAGTCAATATGAATCTGCAATTAATCCCGCGATGTCAACGGCGTGCGCCGCTTAAAAGAGAAATATTTGATTTAACATTCCTGTAATCCCTGAAACGATGCAAATATTCGCTCTCTTAATGTATGCGTAATTAATGCGCGATTCCCGTAACTTTTACGACTCGGCGTTACAACTCGGCTGGTTTAAAATAGACGCGTCTCCCGTGGGCGGACAAAACTCACCGAGAGTATCGTTCCGCTGCGATATCAAAGTCGCTGGCTCGCCGACTTAGAACTCTTACGTTCGCGCGTTTATCCATCGGGCACGAAGTGCCCCGGCGTGATTCTGCTTAACCGTACAGTTAAACGTTATTTCAATTACGACACGTTTGATGTCGTCTGGCGCCGGTTTTACGGTCACCGGCGACCGTAAAACCTTAACGGCTGTGAAATCTAAGCGGCGATAAGGTGGCGCGTAGAAACGCCGTTTACACGGTCCAATCGGCCGGAAATCAATTCATCGAGCGACCCCCCCCCCCCCCCGCGCCAAACGACCGCAACGACAACTCCTTTGTTTCGTCCAACGGTTACGTTGCATTTGTCATCGCATATTGACCATTCAGTGCAGTACGTATCGCACGGTGGCGGCTAACATAATAGCAATTCTCCGCGGCGCACAGCTAAACCTTCGCGCAGAGGGAGCGGAAGATCTTCCGGTTTCTGTCCGTCGAGGAGAATTCTGCTTTAAAATGTGCGCTTGATAAGAGAGCTGGAAGATGAAATCACTCTCAAGGCAATCAGCATCGTAAATTTGGTATACAATAACCACTGGTCAATAAAATTTTGTAACAAGAAAAGTATTTGCTAATTTTGACATCTTCGTCTGTTGTCACGAGATCGTAGTTGTTTCGATCGGGTCTGGTTTTTTTTTTTCCAACAGTTACAACCTATAAAATTTCACATTTACTGCTTTTACACTACCGCTTAACGTTGTATTTAATTACTGTGGCTTTGTTACTCGTGAAATAGTTTAATTTTGTTACTTTCGAGTTTTTGTAATTTTAAAGCATTCGTGTTACCAAAAAAAAGAGATTTCGTCGGCCAGTGTTATCGTTGGACATTAAGAAGTGACGTTCCTGACGCGAAATATAGGAGAAAATGCTAATTACAAAAACTTTCGTATTACAAATACCTGTATTCAATTTATTTTTTACATTACATTTTCGAAAGCTAAAAATATAGTGTCACTATAAGACTATTCGTATCTGAATTTATTTCATGTCATTTCCTTCCTCAATAACCTTGTCTCTGATAGAATCAGGCATACGTTTTCGTGTTACAACAAAAAGGTCAGATTTTGTCGGTCAGCGTAATTGGCCGAATATTAATTATTGCACGATTAGCTTTTACGCAAGTATCTAAATTCGGGGCCGTTTAGTTTTCTGCAGTTTCGTCTACGCACCTCCACGCCCAACGGAAGTCGTCCATTCGGAAATTATTTCCTCATATTCCGCGTTGAGTTTTTGATCGCCGCAGTTTGACGCTATATTTTTCATTGCTCCCGATGCGTGATCCGCAGAAAAACAAAACATTCCACCCCCGCCCGTGTTTCCCCCCCCCTCTCTCTTTTTCTCTGATTTTACCTTACGCATGGTGTGTGCACGCGGTACATTGTTGTATTAAAAAAAAAAAGAGAGAGAGAAAAAGCCGGAATGGAGCGCGCAAATGGAATATTCGTGTTGTTAAATCCGGAGGCCGTTGGATTTTCATCGTACGCGATGAAACCCGAATACGTCCCCGCGCGTTCGAATCGATTCTCGGTTCTTTTCACCGTTTCGAAATCGGTCGTCTCCTCGTTATCGGCAGTTTCGAGCGGTTTATATTCGCGTGTAACTGCGCGAATCGAGTGAAAGCATTCGTCTCGTCTCTCCTGGGACGTCTCGCGTCTCCCCTGCCTTTTTTCCTCCCCGTTTCGTTTCCCGCTTGCTTCGGCTCATTACGATTTATTACGCTCGTTATCGTGCCGAGTCGCGAGTTACGCGTCCGCGTGATTTCGTACGGATATCCGGTGGATTGACTCGCCAAACGGCGCTACGGAGCGCCCGCGTCCCGCGCTCGCTTCCACGTGCGCCTCCCGTGCGCTAATTAGAATTTATGACGAGCGCGCTTTATCACCCGCTAAATTTAGCCACGAGTTTTGCGCGAAAATCGTTTTCGTGCTCGCGGCACGAAACTGCGCTTTTTCGCGCGATTACAATAAATCGCTCGCAGTTTAGCGAGCCATCCACGATATCGAGATAATGCGTTATCGGCTTATCCCGTACCATTATTCACAGTTGTTTACAGAGCGTAGACGTGACAATTAAAATTATATAAATGTCCACGCTACTTATCTCTGCTTAACCCTTTGAAGCACGGTGGTAACTCAAGTTACCACCTCCAGTTCATTACTTTTTGGCCATTTAATTTCTAGTTGACGCATTTAGGTCGGGTTTTTTGCATTCTTTGGGTATCTTAGCAATAAAAGAACACATAGATTCCATGGGTGCCAATTATATCTAAATAATGTTTCTTGGCATAGTTGTATTACAATTGAATGTTGTTATTCTTTTAAGTTTTGAATTCCGCCATTTTGAATTATGAAAATCTGATAACGGATTCGTAATCAGCGACCCCGAAAACCCTTGTGTACAAAGTTTCACAGAAAATGGTTCAATAGAAAAATGTATGTTTCAAAGGGTTAAAGAGATCTTATATTTTAAATGGTCACTTTTTATTACGCTACATAAATATTCTGCGAACATTTAGACATTACTTTATATGTAAATGCGAATGAAACTCAAGCAGGATTAGTACGTGTACATAAATTACTTTGATCGCCGGGCGATAATTTTGGCACTATCTCTTCCGACAGGCAGACCGATTGTAATTTATGCAAAGATATAGCCATGTCATCGGTAAATTTCGATATCCTCTTTTCAGATATGATAATAAGACCGAAGAAAAATGACGGATAGGTTGCGGCAAAGTGAATCGTGTCCCTTGATTTAAAATGCAACCGTTTGAATTAAATACGCCGACAGTTGGTTTGTAAAAGCGCATTTTATCTGGCGCTTCTGCGAGGCAGCTCTCAAAGCCTATTTCGAGCGGTTTGCTCTCGAGGGTTTGTTTGAATCCGTCCGATCTGCTTCTCGTCAATTCTAGAAGGAATTCTCGTATTCGAGAGGCCCGCGAGAATGCAATCTTCGTCACGGAACTTTTGTTTCCCAGGGCCGATTCTATCGGATATCCGCGATTGTTCGTTTCCATTCGCGATAAGGAAATCAGAATTTATGCGAGGTGTTCAGATTTTTCGTGATATTACTTGGGAAGGTGGAAAGCGTACAGCGCACAAGTGAAAGACGAGTTTAAGGAAGAGCTCGAAGAGGCCAGATAGCATTTTTAGGACCAGTTTCACAAACATCGGTTAACCGAAGGTCAATTGATTCTCTGTCTCTCCTTAAATAATAAGATGGAAAAGGATAGGAAGTCGACTGAACTCTAGTTAATAGTTAACCGATGTTTGCGAAACTGGCGCTTAGCGTTTTGCGAAGGCCCGTTCAACTCTACAGATCCTTAATTATCGTTATTTATGTAGAAATTGAGTTTATTAAATATGCCGAATCATTTGTTTCAAGTTTTAATTTTTGAAATAATATACCGGGTGTTATGCAACACCCGCCTCACCTCTTATTTGCGGATAGAGCGGACTAAACCAAGTCGGAAAGTCCTCTACCATTTTGCGACTTTCGAAATAGTTAACGAGCTATTAATTATTAAAAACCAGCTGCCACAGTGCTCGCACGTATACATATATTTCATACTTCGACTCTGTCTTATTCGACGACGATGACTGACTTAGTACCACTCGAAAAGGACCCAAAAGAGAATAGGGTCGAAACGTTGTATAATAAACTATAACTAGCCAGTTGGGTTGAAGTTTCCCGCCTCAATTTAAAAAGATCCATTTCGACCAATATTGTCATATTTCTATTTAAGTACATTGTTTGTTATAATAGTCATCGCTCACTCAATAAATCAAACGATGGTACGTTATTTATCCCATTAATAATTTAATCACGGTCCGCCAAATATTAGTTAAAGATAAACATGTGAATTGCGATTAGATTATTAATAGGATAAATATCATTTGACTCTTAAATGTCTCCGATTATGCACCTAGTTACGTGATTTATTTTACTAATTATGACATTTATTACGGTCGATTGATTAAGGATACTGGTCTTTATGCACATAATTTGCCGTGTTGCAGGTCGCAACGAGCTGATTGCTCGTTATATCAAATTGAGGACTGGTAAGACGAGAACGCGAAAGCAAGTATCTTCGCACATACAGGTTCTCGCGAGAAGAAAGCTCCGGGAAATACAGGCAAAACTCAAAGTGGTGAGTGTATCCAGTTTACATGTCTTTCCCAATCGCGCGTTTATTTGTTATATCGTCTTTTTTCCTCCCCTTAATGCTCTCCAACGCCACATCGAGGCCCACCGATCGACGTAGCGCGCGTCTCGCGATCGCGGTTTTCGCCCTCTTTCGCGGAGGGATCGACAAATTCACTCAAAGCGATATAAATTTCGTTTATTTATGTAAATGCGATGTGTTGTGACTATCAAAATAAACTGCGCGACAACAGCGGTTTAACATGACACATTATTATAATAATGAAATGCGAAATAAACGCGATTGTACAATTATTCATTTAACAATGTTGCAATACTTGATGACACGTGTCGTGTCATTTGATAATATATTAAATAAAATATTGCACGTGTCGTATAAACGCGATACTTGGCACGTGGAATTGATATTTGAATCTCACGCGCGCGGCGGATTTTTATTTCTCTCTGAACTATGACAGTTAATATACTGAAAATTCGATCAGCCGTATTTACCAGGGGATATGATGGCCGCGTAATCAAATTGTCATACGTTTTTTAAATATTATTATTTTTTATATTATTATTTAATATTCCGTTACTGAAATAAAATAAAGAATATCATTGAGAGGGACGCGATTAGATTGTTTCTCGTAATTGTGTGAGTATTAAAAATAAAGGAAAAAGAATATCGTTACAAGAAAGACGTATTGTAGAGAAGGAATCTAATTTGATGACACAGTAACTTCATAATGTTCTTCCCTGTACGTTATTTTTTTTTTCGTTTCGCTGAATTTTATTTTCATAAAAATATTCGAACTTGACACTTTGGAAAATTCTGCAAATAAAAGATTTGCGTTTCTCCATCAAATAACATCTTTCACAAAACAAATCGAAACGCTCAGCGATCGAGATAATCAGAATTCTGCTGTATTTCACGTTTCGCACAATGTTGCCTCGGAGAATAGTAGCGATGATATTAAATCGCGATCGGCGATGTGCGAGCATTAGCGGGCGATGGCCGTTGCGGAATCATTTTCAACGAGAGGGAGAAACATATATATCGAGGGACACGCATATCGAGAGGAGCATTGCCGCGGGATAAATCACGCGTAAAAATGAACCCAGCCCGTTTAATCAACAGCTGAATTATTAAAGCGATTCGCGAACAATTGCGCGCCGGTTAATAAATCAAAGCATGGCGGTGCAATCGGTGGTGCCTCCATTTCATCGATGGGCGGTGAAATATCGGGAGACAGAAGACACGAAAGAGAGAGAGGGGTGAGGAGGAGAGAGGGAGGGAGAAAGAGAGAGAGAGAGAGAGAGAGAGAGAGAATTGTTTATACAGGATCGGTCAATATTCGGAATAGAAAAGAGTCGAAAAACAAGCGGAGCGTGTAAATTAACCGTGCGATTGCATGCAGCACTCTGGCAAAGCTCTCGTTCGAAGAAAAAAAACTGCCATTTAATCGACAGCGATAAACTGAAAATTTTTTCGGATATTCCGCGCAATCTAGACGTTATTACCAAATAGTCGGATCGTGAAATATAATTTAGCAATAGCGTTTATAGTTTTATACCTATCTTCTTCCACTATCCCCAAGGGATTAATTGGTAGATATAATTAATTATCGCGTAAATGTGTTATTTGTTTCCCCGGTATTGATACAATTAGCGAAGTTCAATGAGGAATTCTACGATTTGAAGCTGTCGTGATATAATCACACTCTTTTCACAGATAGCAGTCCTTGTCAGGACAAATGGGAGAGCATCAAAGTACTGATTGTTTCGAAAGTATGAGCGATTAAAAATGAAAATTAGACTACTTATTAATTTAGAATTGACCGAGGACGATTCTGTATAATTGAAACGTATCACTTGTGTTTTACATTTCAGTAAAATAGTTCATTCAACCTAATACCTAGATTTACTTGTTTGGCACTTTACTTTATATATAAAAAAATTTAAATTTTGATTACACATTACACAGAATGTACCAATGAACCATAGGTACTTGTGGAAAGCTGCCGTTTCTAAACCACTTGACCGACTCTTGTAAACTTTCGCTGAAAGTATTAAGGAAGGATGAAATTTTCAGTTGAATTTTATTATAATCGATGCCACTAATGAATGATAATCGTGCGCGTCGTTAAGGGAGTTTTATCAGGTTTCAAAATCGAAAGATCGGAAATGTCGTATGTGAGCATGCATAGAATTTTCTTTGATACGTCATTTTTTACTCTTCAATTGTTACTAATTTGTGTCGACTTTTACTCAATTTTCCGATAAGCGGTTCAAAAATCGTGATGATTTATTATGTCATATTCACCTCATTATCCAATTTCCTATTTGACGAAAAATTTTATACATTCATAACCATAAGAGTGTGATAAATGAATCATTGCAACTTTTCAATCACTTCACTTGTTGCAAAATTAAATCGAAGAGTGAAAGAATGGTGTGCCAAAGGAAATTCTGCGCGTGTTCACATAAAAAATTTCCAATTTCTCGCCTGGTAAAACTACTTTATTAATGCGATTATCATCATTGACCCCAAATAAAAAAGTTGATCCTTCCCTAATACTTTCATATTCTTTTATCTTGCCTGAAATTTAAATACGTCTTTGTAATGTTGTACGACACATACGTGCACGAATAATTTTGCGTTGTAATGTATCTGTAACGCTTTTATTTTTCTGCGCTAGGTCATTTTTATGTTCTATTGCGCCCCGGCTCTTGGTAGTCCCAAAGAGTTCCGGAAAACGCCAGCGTCTCTCGAGCAATTTTAATTACGCTCGCGCGCGCGCGCACGACTTTCGCGTAATAAGATGTCGTCTGTTTCCGCGCGCGCGGTTCCGTGCCACGATGCCATTTATGAAATACTCGCACGGGTTTTCGTTTTTAAGTACGGTCAGCCGCAGCTGCAGCGACTGCAACTGCAGTGGCCGCATACCGTGAACATTATTCAGGAAAGTAGCAGGCGTGGGAGGGTGGCACGGTCTACCGTGACGTAATTTTCTGGTTTTCGTGTTTCAGGATGGGTGAATGCCGCGCCGCGACTATTGCTTGTTGCTCAGGAGGGGTTGCTACCCCGCCTGTGGCCGCGAACCGCGCGATTTATTCGGCCGGGGAGGGAAAGAATTTCGCGAGCGGCGTTCGTATTTCACACCGTACCGTTATCGTCTTATCCTCCATAATAAGAAACGGGGGGTGTGTCCTCGGGGTGGTAGGCACGCTGAGACGCGCCCCTTTAATAACTTTTGGCCGAGAAAAATGACTTCGGACGAGACCTCGACCGGGATTCGAACCTGAAATCTTCCGCTTGCCGAGCGACCGTTCTTTCTACTGATTGTGAGCTCTATCCAGGCCCACTCGACACTTTTCGAGCCTGCCTTTACTTTGACTAAATCTTTGCTTTCGTATTCTGTATATTTTAACGAGGCGACAGCAATTTAAGAGAAATTGTCCATCTCGTTGAAACAATAATTGGGCCGAAATGAATTAAAATCCGGCGAGCATGGGGAAATCCTATTGGAAAAATCTTACGGTCTTTCTTCATCGAATCTAGAATTATATAGGATTACATAGGATATTTGATTTTACATTATTTGATTATACATTTTTTGTTACTAAGGGGGTGGAAATAGAATCTCCTTTCGCCAATTTTGATCGTAATCGCACTTGTTGCAAATTTTTTAATAATACTTTTCCTGATAATCACCCACGCATTTCCACTAGGTGGAATGTACCGCAAACAACGAACAGAATTTAAGGGTAACTTCAATCTTGTTTCTTATCTTGACACCGAGATCTTACCCGCTGGAAGTATAAAATTTTCCGACCGTGTTGTTCCGCAGTTTTTAGTTTAAATTCTGTCTCCTTTTTTCCCCGGCACGTTGATTATTTTTTTTCCATTTATATTAATGACGCGTATTACGTTTCGCGTGGACTCGATTTAGCTTTTGTGCTTATGCATTTTACATGCGCGCGTATCAAACGATATTACACCAACTATCACGGTCTATCGAGATTGTTCGCCGTTTTATCTATTTTGGAAATAATTGCACCAGGCATTACGGCGTAATTAATTGTTGCGGTGTAAACGTACTTCCGATAACAGGGCGGGGGTTGTAGTGGTAGAAGGGAGTTGCGGGGGAAGGGGGGTGCCCAAAAACGGGCGAGCAGCGTTTCAGAATGTCGATAAACATGTCCAACCCCGTTACCCGCCCAATCCTCTGCATTCCTGGCGTGTATTCGAGAGATGAAGGGCGAGAGAGAGAGGTAGACAGTGGGAGGGAGGGAGAGAGAAAGAGAGGGGGGAGAAAATAGAGAAGGGAGGGAGAGAGGGGAGCGAGCGAGCGAGAAGGAGAGAGAGAGAGAGAGAGAGAGAAAGGGGGAGGCGTATGGGACGGAGGGTGGAAATTAAAAAAAAACGACACGGACTGCACCCTCTCAATTAACCGAATTGATTTTCCGCTGCAAATTCAGCGCGCGCCCCACACAAACGTGAACAACGGCCCGCACAGCGAAATGGACTTTTCGCGGGTAATCGATGTCATCCAACATTCATAAAAAATTACGCTCTATCCAGCGAAATTCGCGCACGGCCGTTTTGTAAATCGACTTTACGCGCCGGTTAATCTGCCGAATCGTTCTGATGTCGCGTCGATTACGTTGCAAAGGTATTCCGAATAAAAAAGACACTAAGTAATTACGGCGACCCTTCGATTGGAGGAGGCGTCCAGCGGTTTTGAAACGCGCTCCGCGACGCGGTGTCGTTTTTTTTTGCGAAATTTCAGAGAATCAAATATCGCGGCCGGAGTTGTTGTGGCGGAGATAAAAAAAAAATAAGTGAGAAATGTACAGCGCGAAAATTATGATGCGGAATCCGAAAATTGCATAATGAATATGCATTATAACTTGGCCACATTCCCCAAATCTCTTCTAACCTCGCCCCGTGAAAATTGAGAGGGTATTTCATTTTAATAAGCGAATTATCAGTGAAAGTTTAACATTATCAGAGAAATTTTAATGACGCTTACCGCATATTTCTATTTGCATTGCAATTATCCAATAATCCACTAATTACAAAGAATGTTAGAACGGATTTGTCCATTAATTGCCTTACGCGTGATAAGTTAGCCGGCACGTTGAAAAATAATCAGTTGCAGCAAAAGTTAGTCGCTTATGTATTAATTGTAGAAATCGATTGCTTATATAGCAAACGATCGCATTATCTTTTTTTTTGCTTCAGTAATTTCTCTCTCTCTTTCCCCCCCCTACATATTTTTATTCTATAATTTGCTTGAACCATTAATTACGAGTCGTACAGTAAATAGAATTCTAATCTACAACTAAAGTTGATCATAAGCTCGGTTCGTACCTTTTGAGAGATACCTGTGGACTTATTTTTCATTCACACATTAAAGATGCAATGCCTTACCGAGTAACATTAACTTTTTAACACCGTCGTAGTTTTAAATTGCAGCACTAAAGTAAAATTTATACATAAAACCTAAACCGTACGATTAACATTTTTATTATCCATTTGTAGCTCCACGATTCCCCGCGGGGAAACTGGGCGCGAGTCCCCCCCCCTCCCCCTCCGCTTTCAACTATTTCCAAGTTAGGAATACACTATCGGTATATGTGCACGTCGACAGTTTCATTAAATAAAATTCGCCTACAAATTAATCGAAAAATCCCGTAGGTAATAGAAACGGCGGCGGCGGCGACGGCGGGGCCCACCCCCGTTGTATTTCGAAGCGAACACGCGAGGGGCGTAAACAACGTCGGGAGCAAAATGTAACCCGTGATTTTCGGTCGCACCGTCGGCTAAATTCTTTATTGCTCGCATCGTTACGCGGGCGACGCTTCATTCCGGTCGACCGGCACTCGTAGTGACTCCTCCATTACGGATTTATGAACGAAATTGAAAATCCCTGTGCTCCCGTGGCGATGGGGCGGGCGGGAGAGAGAGAGAGAGAGAGAGAGAGAGAGAAAGGGAGAAGGGGGGTGCGAGTGCGAAACGAATGGGCACGGGGGTGAATCGGCGCGGGACCGGATGATGGTGGTGGGCATGGCAATTTTCCCGAACGTCACGGCAACGAACCACCTCTCGTTCGCCTCGTCAGCGATTTTCGGTCGGGCGCTGATTAAAACGACGGCTTTCCGATAAAAGCGCGCCGAATTCCCGCGAATTTCTGTTGCAACCGGACTCGCCGCCGCCACCGTTGTTTCTGCAATCAAACTGCGCCGCGCGCGATCGCGATCGATTTCATCGCGCGCGGTGCGCGACGCGCGATGCACCGAGGGAGCGGGGAAAAAAATATCAAGGGGGGAGCGGGTGGCGCGAGGGGGGCGGCGGGACGGGGAGAAAAAAGGAACGCCTGGTAATCGCGCGTCCGGGCGCGGTAAATTGATTCGCATCATTGAGAATGTTACGAATTTATCCGCCGACTGTTGATTGATATCGCGAGTCCCGGATGTCTCGAATTTTTCGCTTTTTCGAGCCACGTCGCGTTTGTCCTTTCGCGAAATGTATAATTAAAAAATATATACGCGAGCGTGTGCGTACCATTCGGCAGGAAAAAGCTGAAAAATTGACCTACGTGTCGATATTAAACACTTCCAC